TGCAGTTTTTGGCCAGGGCAGGGTTTGAACCCGCCACTTCTGGTAAATGGAGCCAGCGCCCTACTCCTTTGAGCCAAGGTGCTGCCCAAGTATTATACAAATTTAACAGAAAGATTTAAGATTTTGGCTTCATTGTGCTCCCTATCCCCTCAACTCATGGCTAGAACATCCTCATTCACCCAGCAGAGTTCCTAACCTAGGATTTTTAAAAAAATGGCAGGTTGGGCAGTGCCTGTGGGTTAGTAAGTAGGGCGTTGGCCCCATATTCTGAGGGTGGTGGGTTCAAACCCAGCCCCAGCCAAACTGCAACAAAAAATAGCTGGGCGTTGTGGCAGGTGCCTGTGGTCTCAGCTACTCAGGAGGCTGAGGCAAGAGAATCACCTAAGCCCAAGAACTGGAGGTATCTGTGAGCTGTGAAGCCACAGCATTCTACCAAGGGCAACAAAGTAAGATTCTGTCTCTAAAGAAATAAAAAAATGGCAGGTTAAAGCTAAGCCTAGCTCCAAAACCTGACACCTAAGGCCTGACACCAAAAAGGACATTAGTCCATGGTAGCAGAATTGCTGAAGTTCACAGTAGCTGTTACTTTAACCTACTTAAGAAAAAACATGTCACCAAGTATGGTGGCTCACACCTGTAATCCTAGCTCTCTGGGAGGCTGAAGTGGGGTGGACTGCTAGGAGTTTAAGACCAGCCTAAGCAAAAAGGACCCCATCTCTACTAAAAATAGAAAAATTACCTGGGTGTTGTGGCAGGTGCCTGTATAAGTCGCAGCTCTTTGGGAGCTACGGCAAGATTGCTTAAGCCCAATAGTTTGAGGTTGCTGTGAGCTATGACACCATGACACTGTACTGAGAATGACAAGAGTGAGACTGTCTCTTTAAAAAAAAAGTCTAGCTAACCTGTTACCAACTTAAAAAAACCCCAAAACTCACATTGCTTGTGCAGGTGATTTATTATGACTATTTGCCTTCACATTGTTACACCTAGAAGTCATTTTATTAAACAGAAAAAAAAAATCTCACATCATTCAAATTAAGCTCAAACCAAAGCATAAGACAGCTGCTCTAAGTTAAGAGGGAGGCTAGTCATGGGCAACCCTATTGCTTTCAAACTGCCCTGCTCTCCCTCATGGGTGCCAGATTCCTATTCATACAACTCAGGCCACTATTACATAAAATAAGCTTGATCTGAAGGGTGGCAGGTCCCAAGACTTCCTTCATATGACAGTTACAGTTTTCCTTAGCAAGCCAAGTTCAAGAGGCAAAAGCATCCCTCACACGTTAGAAGGGCAACCTACCCCATATCAAGCTGGCAACCCAAGTCTGACACCACAGCCTGCCATATCTCAGAAGAAAAATAAACTACAAGTCAAACTGTGTGTCCTAAATCCATTTTATTCCCATCCCTCTTTCTGGAACAAGGAGAACTGAACAGGTAGGAAAGATTCAACCATTTTTAAAAGACAAACTGACAGATGTGTTAAAACCAAGAAGCCCTGACACATGATGCTACAGCAAAGCAGTGCTGTACCATTCTGGTTTGGGCTGCTCCAAGGGATGACAAAGGGACTCAAACTTATTTTGGGTTGAGAAAAATTAATTTGCTATAGGTCAAAAAGACTAACCTGGCAACAAACTAAAAACCTTGTCAGGAAGAGATCTCTTGTGAGTGTCAATACTTTATTTTGGTGTAAAGACGGGAAGCTGGAAAATACACTGTATTTAAAATTTTCTTGGTTCCCCCTCACAATGTGGAAACCCCCTCCCCCCAGTGCTAATCTGTTCAAACTCAAATACTTAAAAATTACAGCAGCCAAACAAAAGCACAGAAAAAAGAAATCCAGATGGAGAAGGTAGCCTGGGCCAGTAGAGTCACTTGGTGTAGACAACTGAAGTGCTGAACAGGAGCTTCTGTTTCTGTTTTTTTCTTTTCTTCCCTCCTTTCTCTTCTAAAGGAAAACAGAAAGGAAACTTGCTTAGTGTAAAATGCCATCCCTCTTGTTCCCTGGCCAGTTAACATCACTGAAGTCAGAGAATGGGAACTAAAAGTGCTGGTTCTGAGATTAGACTCCCTGAATTCAAATGAGACCAGTCCTAGCACACTCTATGTGTCTTTGGGCAAGTCACTTTACCTCCCTGAACCCCAATTTCTTCAACTGTAATGGGAGATTTATACCCATTTAATGTAGTTATTAGCATAACTAATAAATGAAGTGAATAAATAATAAAGTTAGCATAGTGCTAATATAAAGCACACCATAAATGTGTTTTGTTCTCATATAATTACAAATACCAGAGTGGGCTGGGCTTTGACCTGAATTCTCCATCCATTAGCCACGTTTTACTAAAGATTCTAAAGTGTGGGCAGGATCTGCTCTCTCTTTTCCCCCAACTAGACACAGTGGAAAGAGCCTTAGAATTTCACTTCCAGACCTCAAGAATTAATCTGGGATGGTAAATTGGGCCTACATGACATACCAAATGGACATTACTTGAGAGCAGAATGTTTAAGACCGAGGCCTACATGTTCAGAAGGAAAAGTGCCTCATAAATTAGTTATGTCTGCCACTAGATACAGGCAGAAATGGCAGTACATGTGTAGGCTTTCTCATCAATCCTGTAGCTAAGCACTCCAGTTCTGTCCTTACCAGAGAGGGGATCTGAAGAAGCTGGTGTGTCCAGTTTCATGAAGGCTGCTTCAATAGCTTGGCTGAAGGAATTTTGGAAACTGGGCACAGGAACACGGTCTGAGTTATCACTCTCCCCATCACTGTCCACAGGGGCAGGAGGAACTAGGCTGTTCTCATCTAAAAAATACCAGTGTTATAATTCTAGAAACAACTACAGCCTTTTTTTTTTTTTTAAGACTCTCACTTTATCGCCCTCGGTAGAGTGCGATGGTGTCACAGCTCACAGCAACCTCCAGCTCTTGGGCTTAGGTGAGATTTTCTTGCCTCAGGCTGAGTAGCTGGGACTATAGGCACCCACCACAACACCCAGCTATTTTTTTTTACAGTTTGGCTGGGGCTGGGTTCGAACCCACCATCCTTGGTATATGAGGTGAGAGCCCTACTCACTAAGCCACAGGTACCACCGAACTCTATAGCCTTTTACTGAAAGGAGCCAAACTCACTCCCCTTAACCAGTAGGCCATCCTCACCTTTCTTTGGAGAAGTTTTGGGACACACTTCTGCTTTTGCTTTTCCAACCCTCAGCATCTGCCAAAACGGAAAAGGGAGGGGAAAGAACTTAAATAACTGTTCCAATTTCTCTCTTCCAGATGCCTACCCTGAAACTAATTGGGGTGGGGTGGGGTGGGGTGGGGTGGGGGCACAAAGAAACAGAGTTTGTTCTTTTGAAAGAACAAACTAAGTGCCTCTCTTTAACAGTTTCAGTCATGTCCTTGACAAATGGAAATGGCAGTGAAACCCACAAAGTGACTAAAAGTTGTAAGCTGTTTTGTTTCTTAGGAAACAGGTAAATAACATGGCATACAGATGGCAGAAGAGGTTCTTATCCAGAACTCAGACTCTCAAGTTGGGAATCCTGACTTTTTGATAAGTTTTCCTACCATTCTTGGGACACCTACAAACATCAACCTGTTGGAGTAAGCAGTGTGTAGTACCCTCCAATTTTAAAACAAGCCACATGGCTATTGGACTTCAGTTAAATTACTTAAGGTCATGAAAACTAATTTTATTTATTGTTTATTTTTTTTAGAGACAGAGTCTTACTTTGTTGCCCCTGGTAGAGTGCTGTGGCATCACAGCTCACAGCAACCTCCAGCTGTTGGGCTTAGGATATTCTCTTAACTCAGCCTCCCAAGTAGCTGGGACCACAGGCGCCTGCCACAACGCCTGGCTATTTTTTGTTGCAGTTTGGCCAGGGCTGGGTTCAAACCTGTCACCCTTGGTATATAGGGCTGGCGCCCTACTCACTGAGCCACAAGTGCTGCCCAAGAAAACTAATCTTTACCTTGAAACTGCTCAAACTGCCCTCACCCCCCCCCCCTTTTAGTCTCTGCTTTTTTCTAATAACTCCTTAATCATTATCTTTTAGATCCAGCCATAGACCCATAAAATTTCTTCAAGTACAATAAAATCAGAAAATTACATGGCTTCACTATACTATCCTATTTTTGTATATTTGAAATTTTTATGAATAAGCAACAAAAATTTAAGGGGAAAAAAATACGTAGGATATATAAGTTATAAAGTATAAAACTATAATATCATCCATCAATCCCTGGCTACCCAACCCTATAATCATTTTTAAAGAACCAAACTAATGGTTCTTAAAACTACATAACCATCAGAATCACCTAGAAAAATTTGGAAAATAAAAAACGAACATTTCAGATCCTTCTACCGAATCTGCAACTTGCATTCCAAGAATCAGGCAAGTTTGGGAACCACTGGCAACTATATAATCCCACCCCTTCTCTGGATAAACCAAGAGGCAGAGAATGCTATTACAGCAGTTAGGAGGATGTAAGGAAGATCCAGATGGTAGGGATGGTGGCTTTGAGTATAGGAAACAGGTTTAAACAGTTGGTGTACTATCTAAGATTACTCATTAGCACCTGACTGTGGTCCAGTCTAGGTAAGGCTCTTAGTATCTTTCTTGGTACAGCCTCAAGGCATATTAACTGCTGCTGCTGCTGTTTGTTTGTTTTGAGACAGTCTCACTCTATTGCAATGGATAGAGTGTGGTAGAGTCACAGCTCACAGCAACCTCAAACTTCTAGGCTCCTGCAATTTTCTTGCTTCAGCCTCCCAAGTAGCTGGGACTACAGGTACCCACCACAAGGCCCAGCTAATTTTTCTGTCTTTATCAGAGACGGGGTTTCACTCTTGCTCGGGCTGGTCTTGAACTCCTGGCCTCAGGGATACAGCTGTGTTGCCTGCCTCCTCAGAGTGCTTGTATTTCACATAATCCCTGGGAGCCATTTGTTTATCACCTCCCAAGTCCAGTAGTTACTTTTGAAGACTGTCCTCAAATTACTTTATCCTCCTTGACTATAGGATCCCCCTTCCCAAAGTTTAATTCCTGCTTATTTCTCAGCATTAACTGCCATTTTTACATGAAAAGCATTCCTATCAATGGCTCTGAATTACATTAATGATCCAAACTAGCCCCAAAGAAGCTAATACTGATGTCTTACAAGGGCACTTGTCAACTTATCCATCTATTTTCCTCAGATATCTCAACACAGGAATGCTGAATATTTGTTTATGGTTTTAGAGATTAAGTGATTTAACAGCAGCTCTTCTTAGCCTAGTGTCTCCCCACTCTGCTCCAAGGAAGCTGCTTTGGTTACTAACAAGACAATTTTTCCCTCCCCAAAGTGAAAAGAAAGATTTTATGCTACATAACACATTAATACCACCTGAATTAGAGATCCTAGAATAAAGGACTAAACTGACCAATATATCCTCAGCTCCTAGAACAGTGCCCAGTATGTTGAGTATCAAATGTTGTTTTAAATAATTAAAACTCTGATCCTCCTTCAGCTACTCTTGGCCCCTTTCCTAGGAAAACCTGCAGTAATATCTGAGGATTAAATCCATGAGCTTTCCTCTTAAGAAAGCCTCCCATGATTATTAAGAGTCATTCAGGGCGGTGCCTGTGGCTCAGTGAGTGGGGCGCTGGCCCCATATACTGAGGGTGGCCAGTTCAAACCCGGCC